GCTTCCGGCAAATTCCCCCATTTTTATTTTTTAAATGACAGTGCGTGTAAATCAGTGGCCACCTCTCGGATTGGGTTGTTTAAGACTCGGAAGAAGACTTGTTTGTGATTTTGCTAACAGGTCAGTCCGAGGCTTAACCCTATATTGGCTCCCCACACTAGTTTACTGTCTGGAACACAGCAATTTTATTAAAAAATAAAATGTATTCTAAAACTTCCCCTCCAAAAACTATTTACATACACCTCTTCAGATCATGGGCTTGTATCTGCTCTATTATTTTGGATTTACTTACATATTTGGGTTCAAGCATTCATTGCATACTTACTATGTTGGCCTGGTAGTCAGCATTATCAATATCATTGAGCCACATAAATTTTTTTAAAACCAGGAATCAACAAATGAATAATCATTTAAACAACATAAATGTTATCTAAATGTCATACACACACACACACACACACACACACAATCACTCCTAGCAACCACAGTTGGAAAATGTATATACTGTTAATCCATTGTGAGAACAACCATTCCCTTTTGTTGCCCCAGAAATGCTGAACAAAACTGATAAGGACTATCATAAAACACTGTATAATCCAAGAAATTCTGAGTCTCTTGAGCTAATGTGGCAGTAAAGCATCCTGGGTAAAGCAGCATGATGTCATGGCAGGTACAGTAGAGGGAAAGGAACCAGAAGGATGTCATCAGGAGATCTTGAAAAGTCATTTATTTCATCCATTTGGCTCTCATTTGAAATGTAAGTTTTAGATAAGAATCGAAGAAAGCTTTCAGCTCAAAAAGTCTATGTTTTAGTCAAAATGGAATTTCTAATAAAAAAGAGACAAGGAGTTAAAGAATCTTTTCTATGGGCAAACTAAAGAAAAAGGAAGCAGATATATACACCGTGATCACTCAGATCACTAAAACAAACAAAAACTGAAGGCAAAATATTGACTGTATTTTGCAAATCACATAAGGAACTATCACATTTAGTGGGTGTGATGATATAGGCAGAAATGGGGAGGAAAAAAATTGCCTTATGCTTTACGCTTATGTATTATGACCAATATTTAGTAACCAACAGAATTTAGCAAAATATAAGGAGCCCGTGGCTTCTCCATTAACTGTGATAAATGAATATTTTCCATTTGAGCCTGTGGTTTCTAGGAGTGATGTGTGTGTGTGTGTGTGTGTGTGTGTGTGTGTGTGATGATGACATTTAGATAACATTTATGTTGTTTAAATGATTATTCATTTGTTGATTCCTGGTTTAAAAAACGTATATGGCTCAAATAGATCAAAACATAGATCAAAACAAAATGTATAGTCCTCCTACCTGGTACCAGTGCTAAGAATTTGAGAAATAATAGATATTATATAAGAGCAAAACCAGGTAAGTTATCTTCCATATAAATATTTGATTGGCTCACATCCTGAGACTTGTAGTCATTTTGAAAAAACATTTAATTGTAAATTATAAGCCCAAGCACTCCTTCCACTTCCCTTTTCTTGAATTATCTTCCAAAAATATGACTGTAGACAAAGCTGTAAATAAACTCTGGGTATTTGTGTTCAGATGATGTGGCTTACTCTCTGGTCTGGATTTCAAAGATGCCAATGTAATGTGGATTGTATATAATTTTTAAAAGGATTTTACAAATTTATGGTTATTGCAGACATTTGGAAAATACAGAAAAAGTACAAAGAAGCAGAGAAAAAAAATCCTCCATCCAGTCAATGGAGGTTACCATTATTTACTTTCCAGTTAGGCTTTATACTATATTACCTTGGTGTCAAGATTTAGTCACGTTATACACCATGAATATTTCTCCCTTTAAATAAATACTTGGCAGTTTTGACCTGTCTACCTAACATCTCATTTTGTAGTAATGCGATAATTTGTTGGCATCACGTGTAAAATAAAGAGCTACAGCTTATGATAAAAGACTTCTTAAATCCGAGCAAAAGAGAAACGCGGACACAGAGAAGATAGTGAAAAATAGCAAGACCATTAATAGGAAAAAAAAAGTGATCATAGCTCAAGTAGAGGCAAAATAATAGGGTTAATCACGTCACTTTAGGACAAAAGGGTCAACCAGCAAGCGTCTCACTTAAAGTTTTTATTTGCATTTCGAATGGAGATTTATTTTCATTAGAGAAACTCGAGGTTTTCTATATAAACATAAACAAATCCTCCAATCGTGTGGTCTCCTTTTAAATGCTCCGACTGCCTTCAGAGAGGGCTTGGAGAGAAATAAAAGGTGTCCAGCACGAAAGCATTTGTCAGCAGCCCCGGGACTGTCCACCGTGGTCCGCGCCGAGCGGAGCCAATCTGCGATCTACAAGGCCGTCGCCAAGACAACCAGAGGCGCCGGCAGGTGGGTGCGAACAGAACACTCAGCGAGGGAGCGAAGACGCGTCAATGGCCGCGCGCCCCGGCCTCGGCGCCCCACCAGGCCTGCGCATGCGCTGTGGTAATTCCCGCTCGGGGGCGGGGGGAGCTTTGGAACTCTCACTTTACCGTCACAGGGCAGATGAGCACGGTGCCTCCGCCCTCTCCCGCCCCTTTCTACCCTCCTCCCCTTTCCCCTCCCCTCGTCCCTCAGTCCTCTCCCTCCTTCCCCTCTCCCCCGCCGTCTGGAGTCCCCGGCGAACACCAGCTTCCGGCCAATGGCCGTCTGCGAAAGGGTGTCCCGCCTCTTCCGCTTTTACACAGGAGGTCGCAGCGGCGCCTGCGCGTCCACTGCCAGGGTCAGCAGGCCGATCCCCTGGGCGGAACACCAGCGCCTGGCGGAGCCGCGCCCGGGGGGTCCATGGCGATGAGCTATAACTCGAAGGATGAGGTGGACGGCGGGCCTCCGATCGCTCCCGGGGGCGCCGCCAAGAACCGGAGGCCGGATAACACGGCCTTCAAACAGCATCGCCTGCCGGCTTGGCAGCCCATCCTTACGGCTGGCACGGTGCTCCCTACCTTCTTCATCATCGGCCTCATCTTCATCCCCACTGGCATCGGCATCTTCGTCACTTTCAAGAACATCCTCGAGATCGAGATTGATTATACCGGGATAGACACTTCCAATCCCTGCAATAAATGTTTGTCTCGGAATGTGACACCTTGTATTTGTACAATTAACTTCACACTGGAACAGTCATTTGAGGGCAATGTGTTTATGTATTATGGACTGTCTAATTTCTATCAAAACCACCATCCGCACCTGCCCTCTCCTCTCCCTCGGGTTCTGGTCTCTCTCTCCGCGGCTTTCCGAATTCGCACTTTCGTCCGCGCTTCCTCTTGCGATTCACACCATTAGGGACGGAGTGAGCCTTTAGTGCAGAGGGTGGGGCCGAGGAAGAACACCCCTTCCGTGCGATGATAGTCAACTAAATGGAGATCCTACTGCTTTACTTAATCTCAGTAAGGAATGTGAGCCTTACCGAAGAAATGAAGACAAACCAATTGCTCCTTGTGGAGCTATTGCCAACACCATGTTTAATGATACATTAGAATTGTTTCTGGCTGTCAATGGATCATTTTCAACAGCAATTCCTTTGAAAAAGAAAGGTATTGCTTGGTGGACAGATAAAAATGTGAAAGAAAAAGTTATATCCAGACATGACTCCGGGAGAACTGACGTAGCCAGAATGTCATTCCCTGCGTGGGAACTGTCAGAGATGATCACCTTGGCCATTGTTGGGCAGAGGACCGGAGTCAGGCATGAGGTCTTGGTGTTTTGTTTTGTTTTTATCTAAAGAAGTTGTCGTGTGTTGCCAGGTCACAATTAGGACCGATGACCGACGTGTGCACAGGACCTTTTATTTTGAGCAAATTGATGCTTTTAGTCGTAGGGCACGATACAGGTAAAAGGTAACCTGAAACTTCAGTTCCGGTTGTGCTTTTAGGCTGTGTGTATTAATAATCATGCCCTACATCCGCCCTAGTTTTTGTTCTTCCTAGATTTTAAACTTAAAAAAAAAGAGAGAGTGAATGATCACAGAATAAGTGGTACACTGACCGCTGAGTATTTTACTGCTCTAAGACATGATAGAGAAACTTGGGGAAGCATCTTGAATCGCCAAAGCAGCCATCATAGGCTGTGCGTCCATCTGCAGTGAAGACAGGGTGACAGTAGAATGTAATACGTCGTATAGGTGTCCGGTGTTAAACACCTGCTCGTCGTTTTCCTTGAATATCTGAGGGTATTTTTATCCGTTTGAAGGGGCAGTACCTGGCACCAACTAATCTGGATTTCTTCGTTCTATCAGGTTATATCATCTCCTTCCCCTCTATTTTATGCATGCGATTTAATGGGGCTTTCAGAGTCATTTTATTTCAACTACAGGAATAGGCATAAAAATACCTGTTTTCCAATTTAATTTACCTTATCTCTGAAAGCAAAATTGATATGTATTTTCAATTGTACAGTGTTTAATTGTACACTTCTAGGTTAATAACAGTAATGAGAATAGTATCTATAGCATCGTTTTTAAATATTTTACTAAAAATTCAGTTTAGTAACTAGAGAGTCACAATCTGTTTTTCCAGTATGCATTTTTATGTGTTTTATCATTTCTATCTCCCGAATAGTCCTTCAAATGTAGTACCTCTTGTTCTCCCAGCTACACTAGGATCAGACATACGAGTAAAGTGATGTATTGCAAGGACCGTGGGCTCTGTCTGGGCTGGGGTCAGGCAGAGCTGGGTTTAAATTCCATCTTAGTCACTAACTAGCTCAGTTTCTTGGAAAAGTTCATCTCTCTAAGCTTCAAGTTTCCTTATCTGTAAAATACATAAATAATGCCTATCTTTTAAAAATATGAGAATTAGAGTCAGTGTAGATAAGACCCTTGGTATTTATTAAGTTTGTATAATAAATAGCTACTATTATTATGATTCTTAATCAGTTGATAAATGGAGCCAGACAGGTTGACATTTGGTGGTAAGCTAGAAGAATATTGTAAAATTGAGGCAGAAACCCAAACCCAGATGTCTTTATTTCCATCCAACCTTAAGCTTCTGCACTACATTAGGATTCTTACTGCAGTGTTAGGAGGTAAGAAGAAAATAATTTAACATTAGATGTTTTATCATCTTATTTAAACTTCTTAAGATAATAATAATGAAAGTAGCAATAATTTGCAATTTTATGTGATCGGTATTTATTATCAAAACTCACCTTTGTTAGTATATATTATACTATGAAAATAAGTATTTAGCCCTAACTAGTTTGGCTCAATGGATAGAGCATCGGCCTGGGGACTCAAGGGTCCCAGGTTCAATTCCGTCAAGGGCATGTACCTTGGTTGCGGGCACATACCCAATAGGGAGTGGGGTACATCCCCAGTAGGAAGTGTGCAGGAGGCAGCTGATCGGTGTTTCTAACTCTCTATCCCTCTCCCTTCCTCTCTGTAAGAAATCAATACAAATATATTTAAAAAAAAATAAATATTTACTTTCTTTAAAACTTTTGGGTTTTGAAATGAAATAAGGCTCTTCACCTTTACACTAAGTAGTTGGTGACATGGAAATTTCTTAAATAATTCTTCTGTATATACTACTGATTCAAGTGGCTTGAAGAGTCTACTCCAGCTTGGTTTAGTTAAAAGGATACTGAAGTTAAAAGTCAAGGCATTAGAGTTGAAGTTCCACCTCTGTTAGTGACCCTAAGCATATTTTTCAGTCTCAAATTTTTTACTTGAAGAACCAAAAGATTCAGACTTGATGATTTCTAAGGTGATGTTTAATTCTCAAATTGTATGACTTCCAACTTTAATGTGATTTTTAAAAAAATGCTGCATATCCAAATTGCATCTCCTTTGGAACTATAGGAAATGAAAAGTAGAACTGATTAGGAATTTTGTAACCAACACTGACATAAATTGTGGGAATAGAATTAATTTTCTTTTTTTAATTTGGCTGTTAAATATGTAGAAAATTGGTTCTGAATTGAGCCTGGAGTTTATTATGAGAAAAACCTAGGGAGCTTTCCCAAAACACACATGCTTGCTTTAGCCTACTCTCCACCCTTTACCAGATAGTAGTTTAGTTTAAAATATGCTGAGGGTTATTTAAAGTAAAGGAGCAATGAAAATTTCTTGCCAACATTTACTTTCATACTATAAGTTGCTCACGCCTCTTAACTTATTCCTCATCTTTTAAAAAATGTTAAGAACATTTGTTTTTGTGTCAAATTACTAGGCCCAAGGAGCTTTGCCAATAGTTCTATTGTAATATAGCTTAAAGTGCTAAGATCAAAACTCCAAGCTTTTTAAATGTAACAATCAGTGGGTCTTTATGATAATTCCAGAAATGTTATACTAAAAATTACTATTGTTGTAAAGCACATTGGACTCACCTGACAAAGATGTAAAAAAGGTGTTTTTAATTTAATGCTTATATTTGGCAATATATCTTCCTCCCACCCCCATTAGGTTCATATATCTTGTTTAGTTGGTTTTTAAATTTTCTGTAATAAAATGAAAACTGAGGTTGTTAATTTTATCATTCATAGGAAAATATTTAATGTCTCACTCAATACTAAGGTTTAATATATATATGTATGTGCATATATAAATATATTTTATTAATCCTCACCTGAGGATATTTTTTCCATTGATTTTTAGAGAGAGAGGGAGAGAGAGAGAGAGATACATCTATTGATTGCCTCCCACATGCATCCCAACTGGGGCTGGGATTGAACTCAAGACCAGGGCCCACGCTCTAACCACTGAGCACACCATCTAGGGCTATCTTCATATGTTATTAGCAGCAATGAATAAATATTTCCTTTAATTTGGCAATTGTAGGAGTCAGGCACATTTTTCTACCTCAAAGATAATGTGTTTCTAATCTAAGGCTCTTGTTGGTGAGGCTGAGATATTAATTGAATAGAGCTAACTTGAAAAAATAGTGAGTATTCTGAACTTTTACAAAGGCATTTGTCAGTGTGAAGTTATGTAGTTTAATGGTTAGAATTGGATGAGGACATTATTCAGAATAATATTCAGAGTAAATTAAAAAACTAAACATTAACTTTAAATTAATATTGCCAAAAGTGTTCACGATACATTTTCATTAAATTGTAGTGGATTAGCACCCCCTCCCCTGGTTGATAGAAAACTCCAAATCTCGTTTTTGTCACTTTATATTTAATCCTATTTATTTTATTTCCCTTGTTTTTGATAAAAATACAGTTTTATTTATTGTTTTTACTCCTGTGCAACTTGGATTCTTAGATTCCAAGATTTTTAAGAGGATTAAAGTCCTTTTCTGCATTGAGTATAAGTTGCTTTGTAGATTGTTAAACAATATAAGCACTTTATGATAAGAAGTTTAAAGATTTTAATATTCATATGACTTGCAGTTGCTTAGAAGCCGACTCTTGGAAATTAAGAGGTTTGGGGTTAGTGTTTTTAATTTGTTACTCAAGTAACACTAGTACTTAGATCAAGGCATGACAAAGTAAATATGGCCAGCCAGACCGGTTTGTGAGGCCCAGGAACTGAGAATGGTTTTACAGATGAACATTTACCATTGATTTGATGATAGAGAACATTAAGTTTAAACACCCAATTATATGAAATGTTTCCCTCCACCCCCAAATAATTCCATTCTTAATAATAGACTTGTGTTACCAGAAAATTGTACACAATTGTTATTATATTTTGAATGTCAATAATAAAAATTAGTGCAAATTTGTTTTCTCTTTTGGTATAGAAGAGTCTGTATAATATTCTCGGTCTTGCCTCTTGGTTTGCAAAGCCTAAAATACTTTCTGGCCCTTTACAAACAATACTTATCTGCCCTTAACGTCAAGTTTTAAAGAAACATACTGACAAATTTAGCATTTGTTACAAAAATAACAGTATTTAATTATACTTTCTAATCCTCAATAATCTTTTAGTTAGGTATAATGATCCCTGACAATTGCTTGTGTTTTTCCTTCTTTGTACAAATTTAAATACCTTAGCTAAATTTACCATTAATCTTGGCTCAGGTAATATCCTTCTCCTTTTCGTTGTCACAGTCAGATAAAGTTTAAGCAACTAAAGA